GTAGTAGAAGGAACAGTCAAATCAAAAAATTGTTAAAACATATATAAAATATAATAAACAATATAATGGGCTGCCATTCAATCAGCTACTTGTTACTATGCAGATGCTATACACAGGTTGTTTTTGTTTATAGGCTCACTATGAATGGCCTGTATTTAAGACAAATTCAGTTGTTCAGATTTTCACTGATAATCATGATACATTTAGAGTAGCATATTATGACATAATCACAATAACAATAACACTATCATATTGCCCACCCCTTGTTCAGAGTGGTCCATGCTTTACCTTCTGGCGATGGTCTGTGTTTGTAATCTTTTTGGAAACCAGGCCATGGTTGGTATGTTGATGGTATGCCTGCTACACTCTCAATCTCCAGATGGTTCCGCCCCTTCAGCTATACCATCTGGATGTAACCAACACCCTTTTTGCATCCGTGCACTTTCAAGTCTTGGAAAAAAGCCTGTTGAGGCTTGACTGCCACTGCTGACTGAGTACCAGCATTCTATATGGGACATGCATTTTTCACTAATATTACAGATTTGTGCGAAATGTCAAACAACACTCTGGGACAACCGCTAGCTATCCTTGACATATTTTCATCATCTGGAGTTAAAGCTTTGCTCAAACCCTACTACAGCATGAAACAGTTGTATAAGAACAAACACAAATGCACCTTTATGTTTGCTTTTCAGTAGATGTAGATGCAGCTGAAGCCCTTACAGTGAGTTAACTCTGGGGGGAAAAATGCACCACAGATATGTTGCTTTTCTTAGTTTCAGTCGTACTCGTGCTCAGGCTCATGTGCGTCTTTGTGACAAGCAAGGTTTTGTTAAAAAGAGCAAGCTTCAAGCTGCCAATGACGCATGGATCTGTGCAGTCTTTATGGTGCAGATTACTAACGGAATGTGTTGAAAATGGAAATGAGGTCTGCTGTGACCTGCATAATACAGGGAATGTTGGCACAACACAAATGTGACGTTTTTTTCCCAATGTGGCTTCATTTCCTAGTGAGATAGTTGCGCAGTATATGAAGTGACAGTGCCAAATGCAAACACGCTCAGCAGCAGCTAAAATATCCTAAAAATAACCGTAAGAGGACTAACAAGGCATATGATTAAATCCGACAATGCCAATTGAACATTTATTTTGCTCTTGTTCGGGCACACAAGGAGGTTAGGCAGCAAATCTTCAGAGAAACAAACAGCTTAGCAGTGCTCTGCAGCAATGCGGTAACAGATTTTGGCTTTGTGTTGACTCTTAAAAACAGGGGTTCTTCATGGGTTCTTTAGGAAAGGCAAGGGTTATATATAGAAGCATAACTGAGAACCATTAGAATGCTTAAAACGTTTTTTTACAGCTCTGAAATGGGTTGTGGCTTTAGGGATGCGCTGATACAGGAATTGTGGACCAAAGCATATATACGTAATATTTTCCATGTACATATCTGCAAAAGCTGATACATATAAAATAAAATAACACTTTATAAATAGCATAAATATAAAGTCTATTTGCCTGAAAACATGATCAAATCTGATCCACCAGGCCTATTTACTCTAAATACCATGCTAATATTACATGTAATGCCTGTAAATTAAATGATAAGTCTATACATGACCACCTAACTATTATAATGTATATACAAATATAAATACAATTTAATATTTATTAGATACATATTTAGTATCAATGAAATATCAGTCAAATCTAAACATCACTCTGGTGATTTTTTTTAACAATAATAAGAGTGAAATTTTCAAATCACAGAAGCTACAGTTTTAATTATAGGCCTGATTATCAACAACATGCTAAACTGTAAACTGCCTGTAGTTGAGTTTGACCAATCAGTTGACTGCAAATGTTTACATTATTACAAATGGAGTATGAATTGCATTTTTGTGCATTTGGCTGAGGCAAATAACTGCAAATGTAAAAAGTAGCAATGACATTTATTGAATGCATCATGGGTCTTACAAAAACAACAAAGAATGGCTGTCGCTAGAACACCATTAGAGGGCAGCAGTGAGTAATAACTGTCCATTTGATGTTTGTCATTAACATCTTTATAGGGCAGGAGTAAGTAATGTTTGTTTATTTGTGCTCCAGCTGTTTCCATCATTATTTGGGAGCTACTATCGACTAGTATCGACAGTTAGAATGTAAGATTTGCTAATCAGCCAGTTTGCCCACTTAGGCTTGTACATTAATAGCTGCATAAAATTAACAAAAAAATTCAGTTGTTAATTGCAATTATATATAAAGCAGTTGATTGTCAGCTGACATTTAATGATCGTGACAGGCCTACTATCAAAATCAAACAAACACACAACACGCCCACAACTAACTGATATTAACTGGTATCATTCCAGCCATAAGCCAGCGAAAGGATAATCTGGTCTTCTTGGCCCAAAAAACAGGTCTAGTGGTATAGAAAATAATCACAATGTCACCACAGCCACAATATGTAAAGAGAAAATATATATGAAGAGAAAAATTGCAATTAGATATTTTCTTCAGATCACTGAGCTCTAATACCAAAATAATTCCAATATCATTGTGCATCCCTATTAACTATACTACAGTTTACTCCACAAGGTTACATTGCTCAGTTATTATATTCACAATTGAATTATTATTATTATTATTATTATTATTATTATTATTATACAAAGACAAGGAAGAACTATTAGACATTTGACATTGTAAGTTTAGCAGAAGGCAACTTTAAAACAACTTAAAACCCTACTCACTCATCTTTATGCTGAGGTTAATGTCTTTTGCCTGCCAAGACAGTAGCAAACAAATGCACTGGGGACCACAAAGAAGATCAGCATTCACCACTAAATGGCAAATGTCCCATCTAAAAAAAAAAAAGCTTTTGTTTTATTCATGGGAAGGTGCTGGAACGACAGCCGGGTTGGAGGAGGGAACAAATGGAAGCGAATGATGGATCTGCAGCAGATGTTAAATAGAGAATTCAGGTCAATACTGTACAGGATTCGGTGCAGTGAAGAGAAAGAGGAGAACCGAGGAGGAGATCGTCAGTTCGATTCACAGAGCTATGAGTCATGTTCAGAGGAAGTCAGGAGGTGAGAGTTCAGCTCAAACCTCATCAATCTGCTTCGCAACTGCCTGTCTGGTGCTAAACCAAGCTTCGCATTATTCAGCTGGAGAGCAGCACGCCAGTATTGTGATATAGTCTGTGGACTGCAGCAATTCAAATACTTTGGATAAAATGCCATTTAAATCAGCATCTTATTACAGAGAAGCTACATTTCACAACCCTGTTATTTCAACCACTTTTGAATAATATAGTGAATCATCAGCTCAAATTACACCAGAGGCCATAAAAATAATCTGCTTTTTGTATGATTGTGCTGCTATTTTAATCACAGATTAATGAGGGCAAGGTAGGAGGGTGCCCACCAGCCACGGCAGATGCGTGCTGGTTTTGGCCTTTCCAATTCAGTAGAGCGACGCGGATTTAGGTTTAAAAATGCAAAAATCAGCGTCCATGAATTCAATTAAAGATCATCAGTAAGGAACGCTACAGCATCCCTAAAATCAGCATCCATGAGTTCAATTAAACATCAGTAAGAAGCTCAACAGCCTACTTAATGAATTTTGAGAATTAAAGGAATGATTCGGTTTTCACCCTTTTACACTTACCCCAGATGTATTTGATCAGCCAAGACATGCTATAGCCCAAATTCTGCATCTTTAGTTTTAGTGGTGGAGTTATTAGACTAATAGTAATAAACACTAGAAGTCAAGTCACTCGAATCATTTCTACAAACACATCCCCAAAACTTCTCTTAACCAGCTCAAACCACATCCAGCTCTTCATTAATGTCACACAGACTCGTGTTTTAGTACGAAATTTGACTTACTTTGAGTCATAAAAATGAAAAAAACTTCACTGTGTAGCTCAGTGGTCACCAACCCTGCTCCTGGAGATCTAATTCCCTGCAGAGTATAGTCCCACCCACAATCTGCCACTCCAACTCCAGTGAGTTAACTTCTTCAGAAGTCCTTGATTGGCTGAATCAGATTCAATAGTGTCAGGTTAAAGGGAGGGGCATCATGTTAGATGTAGGTTGGAACGAAAATAGATCTCCAGGACCAGGGCTGGTGACCAGTGGTGTAGCTGAACACTGGTGGCAGTCACTTTAGATAACAGGTGTTGTGCTGAATTCTGACACCACTGTAGAATCTGCTTCCTTGCAGAAGTCCTTGACTGGCCAAATCAGATGCAGTAGTGTCAGGTTAAAGGGAGGGGTTGAGAGAAGCCATGGAGATGTATTTACAGAAAAGCTTTGGGTGAATATTGACTTCTAGTGTTTGTTAGCAAAGTTAGCCTCAACCAAGCAACGTAGCTCCAGCACTAAACTAAAGAAGCAAAATTTAGACACCAAACATGTCTTGGCTGATCGACTACATCTGGGGTAAGTGGAGAATAGTGAATAAACTGTGCAAAGTTAAACAGGCCTTCAAGGTCCATCCTCAGGCTTCTGTTGGATGAAAATTTGCAAGGCTAACTCTGGAGTTTAATTAAAATGTCTGCATTTCACACAAATACTGATGGGGGTTATCAGGATTTTCTAGGGGCGACAGACCTAAGTTAATTGAAATCTTCAGGATAATCACAGTATACTTGACAGTTGAAGTGTGGTGCAGAGCCACTGGTGGAGGGATGTAGTGCTGCATGAATCAGTGTAGAACTGCAAATTGCTTTTTGTATTACCACCTTAAGGCCCTCACAAATAAATGATGCAATCTTTTTTCTTTGCTCAATATGCAATAATTATTTCTATAAAGTTTCTCATCCTCTAAGCAAAGCAGTGCACTATAGATAGCAGTATGTTAGTTGCATGGCTGCCTCTGCTCCCTCAGCTGTCCTGGCAGCCAAGTCTTATTAAACTTCTCGCTGCATGTGTTCAATAACCCATTTCTCCCTCTCTGCTCTCTCTCATCTCTGTCTTCCCTTTCTCTTCCTTCAGCTCACGGCCTGTTGAACACCATTAGCACTTGTCACATCAGTCCAGCCAAGGTCGTTGCTCCTGCCCTCTTCCCTGGACCTCCCACCCAGCTTTAAACAGCAGAAAGTCACTTCCTTTTTGACACCGTACAATGGAAAGCCTAAGTGAGCTGCAGAATCCTCTCTTGGACAAGAACAGCAAACATGTAGTCAAGGCAGACTACGGCTACAGGAGTGATTTCCCCAGTAACCAGTACCAGGAGAACATCATCAACTACTTTGTGACGAGTGGTGGAGGTGGGAGTGTGGGAGGGGTTGGGGGAGGCGGAGGCGAAGTTGGGGTCACGCCAGGAAACGGCAAGGCCAAAGCCCAGCTTCTGGATGCCACTTCACTGCACCTGGCAGTAGAGGCTTTCTACAAGCCCAACTTCATCCTCTACAAGGACGACGTCACCATCAAGGGCAAGGATTACAAAAGTGAGTGCTGCGAGACCACCTTCACAGAAAAGAAAGATAAAGAAGCAGCTGTGGATACTCCCAGTACTGAAGATCCACAGGCTAAGCTGCTGGATGAAAACGAGGTGAAGATCCAGACGGTGTCCTACGAGGTGGAGGAGGAAGAATATGTGGAGTATGAGGTGAGGCTGCGCTTAGGTGTACATATACATATCAGGTGTACAAATATAATTTGTGTTAGTTTTCTAAAATAAATAAAATCACCTACTCCACTCCAAGAATTAGTCACCAACCCTCCTCCTGGAAATTTACTTTCCTGCAGGTGGCATACATGCATGTATAATTACATACAAAGACAGGCACAGATAATCTATATAGAGGAAATTTATGTTTTAAATACATTTCACTCAATTAATATTGCTCTTTTAAACCCTATTTGACCTGGATTTGTTTTACCTGGGGAGGTACTTAACTTGAGTGATCCAGTATGAATCTGCTATGTTCAATGTTTTTAAAAGTTTGCCAAGTAACAATCATGGAGAGAATTACCTCTGTGAGTCAGAAAATTGGAGGGTAACACTTTATTTGGAGTAGTCCTTTGTAGATGATTGGTAACCTCTTAACAGATTATCAGTAACATATGAAGTAGCAGTAGTGAAGCATCTGAATACACTAAAGTAAATATCTTGTAGATGTTCTGTTGATACATTACTTACATTAAATGGATGTATTGTTAATATGTTACTTCCGTTACCCAATACCTAATCTTACCCAACCTTACCCATAACCTAACCCTAACCCTCGCCCTCATCCTAACCCTAAACTTAACCTTAACCCAAACCCTAACCCTGGCCCTCATCCTAACCCTAGTGTTAACCTCAAACCGAAACCTAATTCCAACTCTCATATGTTTTTGACATGTTACTGAGAGTCTGTTGAGTGTTTGTTTCATGTAAAAAGGACCACTCAAAATAAAGTATCACCAATTGGAGCACCTTCAGTAATAGCAGCGCTGTTTGAATCACCTTTACATTAATGTAATAGCAAATTCTGATCCTTTATCCTGTTAAAGTCAGCCAGTCAAATGGTAATTACATTACTAGACTTTCTCTGGTAAAACTAATCCAGCTCAAATAGGGGCTTTAGAGACATACAAGTAACACAAGTCATTTTTATGAAGTCAGTAACTGTAATGTGATTACAAGCATTTAAAATATAATGCATTACACTACTTTGTTAGTGGGAAAGGTATTCATATTACTGTAATATGTTACTTTGTACCATGTTACCCCCAACAGTGCATTCTGACCAACAGCATACTGACCCTCTTTATCCATCAATGGAAAGTGACCACCAATATTATTTGGGTGATGAACCATTCTGTACATTGCAGTGGGACTGACATGGTAGTGTTGTGCTGTTATGAGCATATTGGGAACAGTAGTGTTTCTGGGGTTTGCTTCAGTGTCACTGCTGGGCTAGTCTGAGTCCTGTGGTCAGAACTTCACCACTGATAAAGGGATATAAACCGAGTAACAGAAATAGTGCATATCTTTTCACCTGGACCTGGATGGGCTTGATTAATAAAAATGGTGAGCAGCTCTTCAGAGTTCCTGACAGCTGGCTTTAAATAGCTCTAGCTGAAGTCTCATGGGTAGCATTAGTTTTGACTTACTAGAGCCTACACTTTAATGAGTCTGCAAGGCTGCTCAAACGAACAGATGCTTTAGATGCAGGTTCATTCGAACACTTCATTTTCCTCGTGGAAATGTAACTGAACTAAAAACATTATGTTCACCAATTTGTGACAGATGTGTAAATTAATATTCAGCCTTTACTGTCTGTATTATTAACGACTCTCAAATTGATATGCAGTGGAATGTTTTAAAGATTGCTGGAGATCAGCTGAATATTTTAAGATGTTAAAACATTTACATACAGAAACAAAGTACAATGCCTTCGGTGAAAATGGAAAAAAGGGTTGCTCGCTAACCTAGTTCTCAGTATGAAATTACATAATTAACTTGATGAGATAACACAATCAACTCTAGTGTATGATCAGGTGATGACATGCTGGATCTCAGTAGATAAGAGGGTCTAATGAGGATGCTGGGTCTTTATTTATAGTTGAAGGTGCGAGACATCACTTGATGTGGTGTCAGCGTCTTTGTTCCAGGCAGACACAGTGTTAGTTCTTGAGGAGCTTTGCTTTTAGGTGGTGCAGCCTAAGCAGCATCTCACTGCATTCATCTCATCATTTTAAAGCCACTCACCCTGCGTGGGCCCTCCTGACCTCACCAGTGTGCACAGTATGCACTTCCCTCAAGATATATGCGAGGTTAGGAATACATGGCATACTGCAGCACTTTGTCTGGTCAAAGTTTTATGAAGCTCTGCCACATGAAATATCATAACCGCATTGCTGTGTAGATAGCAAAGAAAAGTAGAAATTGCTCATAATACAACTAAGCAAATCTGGTATACTCTACCCCAGGGAAATGCTGCTTCTAGGCCTCATGTTAGAGCATCCGGTCATTATGCAGCAGGTAATGGGATTTTCAAGCAGTGAAAAAATCAAATGTACACAATTTTCCCCCTTTCTCCAAATGTAGTCGATAAACCAAGACATATTCGTTTAGAGCTACAAGGCTAACATAGCTAAAAAGTATTAGAACCTAATGTATAACATTCATATCATCACTATTTCCCTCAAAAACAGTGAAGCAATCTCAAACAAACTTACTTATGTAGTTTTTAATATTGCATGACATACTGTTACCTACAGCAGTGGTTCTGAAACCGGTCCTCAGGGACCCCCAGAGAGTCCAGATTTTTGCTTCAACCCAGCTCACAACACATAGGGACAGAGCAAATGCGGACCATCTGGGGGTCCCTGAGGAATGGGTTGAGAACCACTAATACAGAAATTGACCAAAGTGTAGACACAATTCAGGCTGCTGCTACTGTTTTTAGCCACACGCTGCACTTTTGTTCAGTTTTATAGATAAGAGTATGTCATCAAAAATATCTTGAATGCTGCTTGACTGCTGATTGACTACATTTGTGGTAAGAAGAAAATGTGAAAACAGAAAGGTTTTCTTGCCCACACTATCACATTCAGTGATCTATGGGAATACTTTAGTAATATGAAATGATAATGCTCTACATTTTGTTCACTCTACACTTTGTTCATGGTTTAGGTTTGTGTTTATGTGAAGCAAACCATATGTTTAAAGCCAACCATAAAAACGACAAATCGTTTCTCAGCTATATTATCTATCTATCTATCTATCTATCTATCTACCTACCTACATACAGTACTTAATTTCCAGTCAAAATAGCCATTAATTAAGTGCAAGTTAATCATTATTCATTAGATATTTCTGAAAAGATTAGAAATAAAATTATCCTGAAAAACGTTTCCAAACCTGGAGCTTAAACTGTCCCATCAGATAAACAGTACTTAAAGCTCTTATCTTAGAGAGAGAGGCCAAAATTAAGCTCCACTCCTGCTTCATATCTGTAAAAAATCCACAGGTGTTTCTGTCCATCCTTCAGCTATAAGAAAACAACTAGTGCTATGAGTCTGAAATGAGATGTAGCTGTCAAGAAACTGTTACTGACAAAAAGAAATAGACAAAGAAGAAGAAGAAACTTTACAAATCAAACAAAGAAGCCGCTGATGTTCTCAGAATAATAGACTGACCACCCCATAGTCCAGAAGTCAACATTATGGAATTTGTCACTTGGATGGTGAAGCAGAAAATGCAACAACTTCTAAGACTGAACTTTGGAGGTGTGGAAAAATATCTTTGCAACTAATCTCCTGAAAAGAATGGATGCTATAAAAAGAGAAAGCGTGGAAAAATTAAATGCTGAAAGTGATTTAGTTGTTGAGGCCTCTCAACAATTTGCTGTCAAATGTGTTTTCTACTTGTTTTTCTGATAGTGAAAAAATAAATAACTTGCATGTAACTGCTATTTGGCTGGAAATGATGGGGGAAAAAGAAATGGATGGTCCTAGACTATTAGACAGTACTCTGTCTGTCTGTCTAGCTACATGTATTAGGCTTGTTATACATGTTTTTATGTAACGCCAGTGTTTTGATGTATAGCAGTATTGACTCAGAAGCCCACAGCAGGTGCGATTTCCTCTTCAGCTTGCTTTAGCCTTAAGAGCACTGCAGTACTCCTGCTGTGGTGATGATACAGCATGCTCTAAAGCGTTCTCACTGAAGCTTTTCTTCTCGCTCCCCAATGGTAATCCATATCCTCAGCGCAGGAGAAGTTATCCCATCTGTGAAGGTGCCATTTGTGTCTTCCCATTGCTCAGTTCACTGCACCCAGCTTGCACATGTCAGAGCTTGGTGAAAGCTCTTTTCCTGTTTTGTTTCTTTCTTTAGTCCGATAATTCCACTCCCTCTAATGGGAAAAAGACGCTAATGGTCCTTGTGCTTCCGTCCGTGGGGCTTTCGATGTCACCAAAGCCACTGTTTAGCTCTTTAAACCCCAATTTAAAGCTTTCTGCTCACTCCTAAGATCTCACCTTCTCCCAAGGAGAGCTGGCTGAAAAGGAATTATCCAGAAAGGGATGAAAAAGGGATTGGTGCTCTCTCTGATGTTTAAAATGAGTGGGTCTACTGGAGAAAAACCTGATTATGCCCTTTCATCTCCAACAGTTTATTAGCCTAATCTAAATTGTGCTGCTTTGAGAGACTCTCGTCAACGTACAATGGCTTTTACAGTCCTCAACGGGCCTCCTCTGAATGCTAAGAAGATGATAATGGTGATGATGATGGTGGTGATTATTGTTCTCATCACTCTGTCCTTACGTGGGAATGGATATTATTCTGGATGCCGCATTCTGTCTGTAACAATGTGAGAAACAAACAGTTTGGGGTTATTTTCTATAATCACACGGTGCTCAGACCTTCTGCCCGTAGTGGCTTTGATCTCCCAGATAATATGCTTTGAGATCTGAAATGGCAAACATATTCTGACGTGTGAAAGAAACATCGCTATCTCTAAAGGCAAGGAATTGCAATGGTTGTCCGTCACTTAAAAGGGATCATTTGAACTGGTTTTAGAGTGTTTATGATGTTTTTTTTGCTAGTCTTTATACTTTGGAAGTGCATTCAGAATTGTATTGAGAAAACTTGCTACTTTTTATTTAAACCAAACA